TTCACTGGTCTGGACTTCCATTAATTCAGTCCTGCTATGGCCTTCTATTGAGTAGTACATTTCTGAAATTTTATTGTTAGTCTTTTGGATTTCTAGGTGCTGTTTCTGTATGGTTCCTAATTGTCTATTTTGCCCTTGTATTATTTTCCTGAATTCTTCTATAGCTTTGTCTGTGTTTTCCTTGATTCCTTTCTTGATCTCTTGGAGAACCTTATAAGTTAGTCTTTTGAATTCCTTATCAGGTAGTTCTATTACCACTTTTCCTGGGGAAGGTTTTCTGGTTATTAATTTTGATCACTTGCTGGAACCATCTTGTTTTGCTTCTTTATGTGATTGGCTATTGTCTGTTTTCTCCAAGGCATTAAGGTATTATTTTGCCCATAAATCCTTCAGTATTGCAACTCGAGGTTTGAATTTCTTCCTCAGTTCTTTCAGCTTGAGAAATGCCAAGCATGTTCTTCCCTTTTGGTTTTCTAACTCCAGTTATTTGCACATTTCATTATAATATTTTATTTTCTCAAGTCACCCTTTGAAATCTTTCATTCAGCTCTCTTATTTCATTATTTCTTCCATTCACTTTAGCTACTATACTCTGTGTTCAATAGCAAGTTTTAGAGTCTCTTCTGACATCCATTTTGGTCTTTTCTTTCTTCCTTGTCTTTTTAATGATCTTTTGGTTTCTTAATGTCCTTGATGTCATCCCACAACTTATGTGGTCTTTGGTCATTGGTGTTCAGTGCATCAAATCTGTTCTTCAGATGGTCTCTAAATTCAGGTGGGTTGTAATCAACATTATGTTTTGGCTCTTGTGGACTTGTTTCAATTTTTTTAAGCTTCAGCTTAATCTTGCATATGAGCAATTGATGTTCGTTCCACAGTCAGCTCCTGGCCTTGTTCTGACTGATGATATTGAGTTTCTCCATCATCTCTTTACACAGATGTAGTCTATTTGATTCCTGTGTATGCCATTTGGTGAGGTCCATGTCTATAGTCACTGTTTATTGACAGTGTTGTTGAAAAAAGGTATTTGCAATGAATAAATCATTGGTCTTGCAAAATTCTATCATGCAATCTCCAGCATCATTTCTGTCACCAAGGTCATGTTTTCCAACTACTGATCCTTCTTCATTTCCAACTTTCGCATTCTAATCACCACTAATTATCAATGCATGTTGATTTCACGTGTGATCAGTTTCAGACTCAATTTCTTTATCTTTGGGTTCAGTATTTAGTGCATTAATTTCAATAATATTCATATTAACTGCTCTTATATGAATAGGAATATTATCCTATTGATGACAGCATTGCACTTCAGGATAGAGCTTGAAATGTTCTTTTTGGCTATGAATGCAATGTCATTCCTCTTCAATTTGTTATTCCTGGCATGGTAGACTATATGATTGTCTGATCCAAAATGTACATAGACCAAGAGGCAGTCATTTGAACAGAACAAAGGGATACTGCATGGTTTAAAATCAGGAAAGGTATGCATCAGGGTTCTAGCCTTTCACCATACTTATTCAGTCTGTAATGCTGAGCAAATAATCCAAGAAGATGGACTATATCAAGAAGAACATGGCATCAGGATTGGAGGAAGACTCACTGGAACCTACAATATGCAGATGGCACAACCTTCCTTGCTGAAAGTGAAGATGACTTGAAGATCAAAGACTACAGCCTTCAGGATGGATTACACTTCAACATAAAAGAAACAAAAATCCTCACAACTGGACCAATAAGCAACATCATGATAAATGGATAGAAAATTGAAGTTGTCAAGGATTCCAATTGCTTTGATCCACAATCAGTGCCCATGGAAGTACCAGTCAAGAAACCAGATGACGTATTCCACTGGGCAAATCCGCTGCAAAGGATGTCACTTTGAAGACTAAGGTGTGCCTGACCAAAGCCATGGTATTTTCAGTCACCTCATGTGTATGTGAAAGCTAGACAATGAATAAGGAAGACCGAAGAAGAATTGGTGCATTTGAACGATTGTGTTGGCAAAGATCATTGAATATACCATGGACGGCCAGAATAATGAACACATCTGTTTTGGAAGAAGTGCAGCTGGAATACTCCTTAGAAGTGAGGACGGTGAGACTTTGCCAGTTGTACTTTGGTCACGTTGCCAGGAGGGACCAGTCCCTGGAGAAGAACATCATGCTTGGTAAAGTGGAGGGTCAGTGGAAAGGGAAGACACTCAAGAAACTGGACTGACACAGTGGCTGCAGCGATGGGCTCAAGCATGGCAGTGATTGTGAGGACGGCACAGGACCGGGCAGTGGTTCTTTCTGTTGTGCATGAGGTCGCTATGAGTTGGAAGTGATTCAGTGACTCCTAACAACATATTAAATTATTTGTCCTGAGTTTTTGCTTTGTTTTGATATATCCGAGTAGGCGGGGCATGTGTGCTACTCCAGTTGCTAGCCTGGCCACACTGGAGCTCTCACCACCTGCCTCCAGGAGGGTAAGGCAGCAGCTGGGTGTGTGAGCAGGGTCTTTGTTCACTGGTCTTGCCAGGCAGCTAAAGATGTAGCTGGCATTGCTGGTGAGGTGACTGTCTGTTTGGCCAGTCACCTGGACACGGGTGCAGGAGTGTTCTTACTGGTCCCTGGGTTGAGTGTTGTGTGTGTATACAGCCAGTTGCTAGGTGGTTGGGCGAGGGTGCCCATGTCATTGGTCACCAGGTGGGTGGCATAGAAATTCTCGCTAACAGTCCTGGGTGGGTAGGCTGTATGTGTTGGTGTCTCCAGTTGTGGCCAGGATCGGGAGGATTGGTGCAGGGGGCAAGGTAGAGGGTATGCTACCAGTCCACAGGTGCCTGCTAAGAGGGTGTGCCCCGTCCACTAGAACGCAACATGGGGAAGGGTGTTCTGCTGGCCCCTAGCACAGATGGCTGGAGGGAGTAGGAGGCACCACTATTCTGTGAGACCCCAGTGTGGACGTCTGGGACATAGGAATGGGCACCATCGTTCCATGGCCCGCAGCACCAGGGGCTGGGTAGAGAGACCGGAACTGCCATCAGTGGGTCCCTGGCTCAATGGGTGGGGAAGTGGTGGGTGCTATCGACCAGACCATGATCACATCTAGGGGGGATGGATTAGTTGGGCACCACAAGTTCACACAGGCCTCCGGCACAGGGGGGAGGGAAAGTGTGTGGAGTGGGTACACTTACCTTTCCCAGGGCAGGGAGCACGTCTGCCTAGCTCTGGAAGTGAATGCAGTCACTCCTGCTTGGCTGCGCCAGGTGACGAGGGCTTCAGCTGGGAACACGGCTTGCTTTGTCTCAATGTGGCTGCTCTGTGATGGTTTAGCTGGCAGGGTGCCAAACCAACTCCAATACCAAACTCACTACCATTGGGTCAATTCCAACTCATAGCGACTGCTGTTGGGTTTCCGAGGTCGTAAATCTTTATGGAGGTAGATTGCCCAGTCTTCCTCCTTCAGAGTGGCTGGTGGGTTTGAACCACCAACCTTCTGGTTAGCAGTCAAACACCTGAGACACTACGCCAGTGACCCATAATTTTCCATGTCCACTTTTTGTACAGTCTCCCCTCCTATTTGGCACTCAGTCCAATTCTTCAGCCTTGCGTTTGATGCTCAGGGTTCCAAACTTGTCATTTATATCTGATTCACTTGTTTTCTCAAGTCTTTGTTGTGAGATGAATGTTGAGAGGTGTTCTGGTTACCTAGTGCTGCTCTGACAGGAATATACCACAAATGGGATGGCGTCAAAAACAGGAGTTTATTCTCTTACAGTTTGGAGGCTTTAAGTCTGAGTTCAAAGTGCCAGGCTCGAGGGGCTGGGTGACAGCTCCTCAACCTTGAGCTACAGCTCTGCCCCCTGCTCCCAGCCCACTGAAGCTGGAGGCTTGTCTTTACTCCGACAGCTTCTGGCTGCTGAGACAGACCAGCCCAAGGTTGACAAATAAAAAGGCACAGTCCCAACGTTACTGAACTACACAGCAGGCCATTAACTCAAGTCCATTTTAAGTCCCAAGGTCGGCAGAGCATGGCAGGCTGCTGAACACTGACCTGGCTACATGCAGGGTCCAAGCGTGCCATAAGCTAGAGACCCTTCCCAAAGCTGTTTCTTATATACGGGAAGCAGACACATACCCAAAGCAGCTACTCAGCTGCTCACAGTAGATTCCACCATGGAGTTGATTACCAGTCTCATCATGGAGAATACTACATCCAGCTGCCCAGCCACTCACCCAGGCCTAGCCAAACTGACACACCGACTTAACTACCACAGGGGCCAGATCAAAATGGTGTATTAGGTTGCTCTGAGCCAGGTTTTAGAGCGACTGAGAGGAAGGGACAGTGGACCAGATATGAGGTGACACATCTGGCTGACCTGGGGGAGGAGCATAGGGGCCACAGCCTAGCGACGGGCAGCAGGGGAGTAACAGGTGTCTGTTATCATCCAAACCATTCCCCCTGCCCTGGACCAAGCAGGTTTCAGGAATCCATCCTGTAGAAATAAAAGAACCAGCATGCAGGCTTGGTGAACTGGGATGTTTATTGCAGCATTGTTTGAAGTAGTAAAAAATAGAAAACAGAAAAACCTGGCAACAGCCTGAATTTCTGAAAGCTGAACTAGACAGCTATGAAAAATAAGTTATTTATATTTATATAGATATATATATGGATTGCTCTGGGATGATGTCCATGATAAATTAAGTCTATAACTAAATCTAAATAAAGAGTCTGTTACTGAAGATAATACAGCATCATCCAGTGTTTGGAAAGAAATCGTGTAACGCGCACATTTGAACAGGTTTCCGCTCTCTGACCAGGTTTGTATAAGCATGGATAAGTCTACGAAGAGACGACCAGACTGGTACCATTGCCCCTTGGATGGGCGGGGCTGCAGGGAAGCACAAAAGGCTCTTCCTTTCTGTTGGACTTATTTTTAAGAGGCAGGTGGTGTATTTATAACTAAAAATAAAAAGAAGCCAGGCGGGTCCCCAACCACCACACTGCTTCCCCAGGAGGAGACACGCTGCCCCTGCAGTGCAGCCCCACATTCAGCCAGAGGCTGTCCCCGCCCAAGCAGTCGGCCGTCATCTGCCTGCCTTCCATCCTGGCCGCCCAGCCCCACCTCCGGCCTGCCGACGTGTGCCAAGCCAACGGGGCCTACACTCGGGAGCAGTTCAAGCCTCAAGCCCCGAGTGAGTGAGGGCCAGAGTGAGTGAGTGGGGCCCCAGGGTGAACCTCTCCAACCTCCCTAGCGGGCTGGAGGGGAGAGAAGGGGCAGCAGGGAAACAGGTCTCTATGGAGTCAAATCCCCAGGCTTTTGACACTAACGCTTTGAGCCTTGGATGGCTTGGTGTCTTGACCCTCTTGGCCTCATCCTCCCTGACGCAGGCTTGGCTGTCAGGTCTCAGCCAATGCTGTCAAGCATACATTGTCCCTGGAATCCAGAGATCCTGTGCGCTCCCACACTTCACAGAGCCGTCCCTGCCCTTTCCTGCTTGGCATCTGACTAGACTTCCAGCCCAGGTCCCCCTAATATCTCCCTGAAGCCCCTGCACACAGGCCGCTGGACTAGCATGGCCGAGGCCCCCAGTTCCTAAGCGTTCTCAGCCTCGCTCTGTGCCAAGGCTGAGGGAGTTTGACAAGGCTCTCTCCCGCTCTTTCAACCCCTTCCTGCCTATCTTGCCATGACAAGTCAGGAGCCCCAGGGTAGAAGGCGCTGGGTCTGCAGCAGCCCTGCCCAGGGGCCCAGTTGGGAACACAGACCATGAATGGGGCCCCCGCCACCCCTTAACGAGTCTATCGCTGGGCCCTCCAGGAGATCTGGAGAAGGAGAAGCGAAGACTCCAAAACATCTTTGCTACCGGGAAGCCGGAGGGATGCAAAAGAAAGGTGCCCCCTGTGCGCCAGGAGGAGCCAGCCCCCGAGCCAGACCGCTTTGAAGAACGTAAGCCACTGGGGGGTGCGAATATGCCCATGGAGGGAGGGCTTTGGAAGGCCCAGGATCTGGTGGCAGGGAGGTCCCTGAGGGCCACCAAATGAGAAAGAAACACCATCTGACTACAGAGCTGTCCCCCCAGAGGCCTCCACTGCCTCCCACACCCCCCAGGAGCCTGTGGCCTCCATTCCCCAAGCCCTGATGGGCCTTCTCTGTCCAGTGGTGAAGGAGATCCAGGAGAGGAAAGAGTTCCTGGCCGCCATGGAGGCCCTGGGCCAGGGCAGACAGTACCGAGGCATCATCCTCACTGAAATCTCCCAGGTAGGAGAGCCCACCAAGGCCATGGGGAGGTGTGCCCACTGCAAGTGGGGGACAAAGATGAGGTGGATGAAAAAAAAAACAGCAGTGACCGCAGGTTTTGGAGGTCACGCTCCAGCCTCACATCTGGCCCCTGAAGTCCCTACCTCTGATGCCCTTCGTAGAAACTACGAGAAATGGAAGATATTGACCAGAAGAGGAGCGAGGGACTGAGGAAGGCCCTGGCCACCACTTAATCTTTCTCCAGAGACAGGAACCGGGTCACCCCAACCTCTGCCACCAGAGCCTGCCCCATGGCTGAACAGGGTCATCTTCCCATCAGCCCCCAAAACTGGCCTTCAGCCATGTCAAATGGTAGCGTAGCACTGCCCCCATCGAGTGGACCCTAGCCATGTCCAGCACCCTAGAAAATGGGCCACATCTCAGAAAACAAGCTGACTCTCCCCAGACACTGTCCAGGGATGCCAGGCCAGCTGCTGGAGCCTTCGAGAGGCACAAATGTGCACATATTCAGACTTTTCTAGGAGAGAGAGCCCCATACAGTGAAAGCCAGGCCAGTGTCTTACCATCCCAGATACGTCTAAGGGCATCCAAATGGGCCTGTTCCCACCCCTAGCCTCTGTTGTGTCCTCCACGTTTAGACTCCGTTGAGACTCCTGAACTTTGGAATAAATACGATCACTTCCTCCCTACTGAGAGCCTACTTAGTTGACTTCTTACAGCCTTGGGCAAATGTTTAACCACAACGATTAAACGGGGAACAAAAGACATTCAGAGCAGGTCATTACACACCATCTTGTTTCCAGAGGGATAAGGAGTATTTGTCCAAGGAGTTTTTCAAGCACAGATGGTTCCTCGCTACCTGTTTGCAAACATGAAGTGGAAATGGTACGACCACATGTTGAGCAGCCTGGGCCGGGCTGTGGGAGAGAGTTTCACTCTCCCATGATTCTCTCAGTAAACCTCTGCAATGGCTTGAAATTCTTCTGAGAACTCAGGCTCACCAAGATACCATGACCACCATTTGATCCAGAGGCACTCTGGTCAGACTGAGCCATGGCTTCTGACACCTCCATGCTCTAGTCTGTCATCTTCTCGTCCCCATGAACCACCAAGAGTTGGGAACTTCTAGCCACCTGTCCTGGGCCATCTGGTGGCACCATGATCCAGTCTAACCCACCTTCTGATTGGCAGAGTAAACAGGACCCTGTAGCCACAAACAGACCAGTGGGCAGAGGCAGGTCGAGGGCAATCCAGAACAGTCCAGTCTCAGCAAGAACCTGAGGGCAGAGCGTGCGTTCAGGACAGCTGGCCCCTACCTCGAAGGCCCTTCCATGTGCCCCAGAGACAGCAAACTGGAGAACTTGGGACAAATTCAGTATCGTATCCATCTGACCTTGATTTCATTCCAAATCTGTCACCAACATAAATTTCACACACAGTAGTCTAGATTTCTGTTGTTGTTGTTGTTGTTATGTGCCGTCGAGTCGGCCCCGACTCATAGCGACCCCTCCTTGGGTTTCCGAGGCAGTATCACTACGGAAGTAGGATTGCCCAACCTTCCTTCCGAGGAGTGGCTGGTGGGTTTGAACCGCCAGCCGTCTGGTTAGCAGGCAAGTGTCTTAGCCACTATGCTACCAGAGCTCCCAGTCTAGATTTCTAGCTTCTTTCAAAAAACGGAAAGACCTGGCAACACGGGCTCACACTCCCATAGGCTACGATGACTTAAGTGAGGAACAATTTCCCCCTTTTTGTCTGCTGGCACTGGGGCAGCCTGTCAGATGCCATCCATCAAGTTATACCCAGCTGTTTCACGTAGGTTACCTGTCTGGCCCCTGGAAAGCTTTTGAGTTGGGACCGTAGCTCCAGGTCAGTAGGCACATTTGGAAGATCACCAGGGTCTAGAGGTGCAAAGAATGGCAGGGAGCCAGGACCAAGGCCCCTGTCAGTGGGCAGCCCCAATATGGGCCCAGACCTTTCTGGGCCACCAGAGATGCCCAGCTACAGAACGTGGCTGAGACAGAGAAGAAGGTGGACCTGGCCAAGGGACAAACACCGCGTGGTGAGGGGCACTGGCAACGGCTGTCTTCCTTTATTGTTGGTGAGGAAAATCCTCACGCATTGATACAGGCACATTGAGGAAGGGGCCCTTGAGATGTCCCAGAGATAGGTTATGACAACAGTGCTTCTACCAAGGGCTGCTGGGCACATTCCCTGGGGGAAAGGTGGTTCCCATTGGCTTCTCCTCTTCAGCAGCCATCCCAGACAGGAAGAGGACTGACAACAGAGGAGTGTGAGGAGACAAGCCAACAATGGCCACACACAAGGAGGGACCACAATCCTAGACCTGGGGTGGTGGAGGAAAGCTCTCAATTAGGGACCAGACAGCATGGGACAGAACCAGGATTAGCACCTACTTGAAGCACCCCTTCCCCAGGCCGGTGACCCAGGACCTAGAACTGGACCCCCTCTCCGAGGTTGTCCCTGATGGTCACAGCACTGGGGGCAGCCAGAGGGAGTCCACCTGCCCCAGGATGGCCATTGCAGCCCTATGTCCCAAGAAGTGAGGTTTCCATGAGATGGGGGAGATGAGAGAAGCATTATCCTAAGACTTTGAGGAGAGAAGGAGGCATTTGCCTGCCAGGCGTGTCCGTGTGTGAGGAAACAGCTCAGACCCTCCTAACCAACTTCATAAATAGAGCTCCTGACTCAGGAGAGATGAAGACGAGGGCTGGGGTCCCACTGTCCTGCCTGGGAGCGATGACAGGGACCCAGAGCAAGAGCTGGGCAGGAAGAAGTAGCCAGTGCATCCCAGTCCTGCGCCAGCCTGCAAAAGGCCACAACCCTGGGGCAGAAACCCAGGCCAGAGGGCTACCACGGGGCAGACCTCAGGGTCTGGGGAAGGACCTTCTGGTGCTGAGTTTTGATGGCTAAGAATCCCACCTAGCCATGGTACGGAAGGGAAGAGGGACTGAGGGGCCGGCCATCTCAGCAGAGGCTGGGCAGGACAAGGGGCGGGCATGGCCGGCTGCTGCCCCTCCCTGGATCCTGCTTGCTCTTTGGGTCAGTCACAGTGTCTGGAGTCCTCAGAACCAGACCGGGCAGGGCTGAGCCACCACTGCCTAGGGCTCAGAGAAGAGGGCAGAACTTTCTTTGGCCCAGAGGACCCTGAGGAGGGGGAGGCCGTCACCCAGAGGCTCCCTCTCCTGAGTTCATCGTTCCTCTCAACTGCTCCCGCCAGCGGAGCCCAGGCCCGGGCCAGGAGGGCAGTGGCTGTTCCAGCTGCTCCCCCACGTCAGCTCTTGTCCCCAGGGGACTTGCTCTTGGTGTCACGCTTGTTGCCCAGCAGCTTCAGCACCTTCATGGTCTTGAACTTGCCCTTCTTCTTGGCCTCGGACTCAGCCTCCCTCTGGAACTCTGCAGAAAAGAAAGGGAAGCACTTAACAGGAGTGGGGAGCAGGGTAGCCCATCCCAGCGGGCCAGGGGACAAAGCCATGGGCGTGCCCTCTTTCTTCCTAATTTATTTTCTCTTTTGTTGTTGTTGGGAACATACACAACAAAAACATAGGAGCAACTCAAGTTTCTCCATGTCCCATTTAGTGACGTTGCTGACCTTCTAACAGGGCAACCATCCTCACCCTCCTTTTCTGAGCTGTCCCTCCCCTATTAACATAAACTCCCTGCCCCCTAAGGTTCCTGTTTAATCTTCCGAGTTGCTGCTGTCAATCCGACCCCACACAGCCCAAGGGTCAAGCCAGAAGTTCTTCACTAAACTATCATAGTTGAGCTAAACTGTTGTTGTTTGGTGTTAAGAAGACTCCAGGGGTATTTCTGGTTGAAGGTTTAATGATAATCTCAAGGCCGTAGTTTCAGAGGGTCATCAGCCTCCATGGCTGCAGAGCTCACCTTTCCTCTTGATCATGGCTTCCAACATCTTGTCTTCCTCTTCCTCCCTGAAAACGAGAAAGGGAAGCTGAGCCACCCACAGGAGGAAGGAACAGATCATCTCCAAGTGCTCCCCAGCCTCCGGCTCTGCCCAGCTCAAGCAAGGGTGCACTGGGACTGCTGGCAGGGTGGGCTGAGACGGCCTGGCCCTAGATGTGGGACCCTGTCTCAGGCTCTGCCTGAACCACGGGGCCAGAGGCATGGCCTGCTCTGGACTCACCTGCCCAGGGAGCCTCCCCACCCCGCCCAGTGGAGCTCCCCCGCCCTCGGCCATGTCACCTCTGCCGGTCCTCATCCAGGCAGTTGACAATGGCATTGCGCTGCTCAATGAGGTTCACAAGTTCCTGCATCAGCACCTGCTCCCGGCCCCGGTCCTCCTCTGTCCAGTCCTTTTCTGCTCGGGAAGAAAAGGCAGGGGCGTGAGTGGTGGGAAAACCCTCCGGCCTCCCCCAAGAGTCCAGGAACCACTGCCTCGGTGAGCAGCTCAGACTGTGTCCCAGGCCCGTGCTGGACACTCTGAGGACAGAGAGGAGGGTCCCAGTCGGGGGAGGTCATGGGTCTTGGGGTAATGAAGGTCATTATAGAAGAGAGCAAGAATGCAGACTGTCTACAAAAACATCCCTCACTGGGAGCCAGTATAAGCCCAAGGGATTCCCCTTGTGGTCACTCACTTGTCCCACAGACTTTGCTAGTGGTTTCTCTGTGGAGGCAGGATTCATGCCAGGCCACTGAGAGTCCCTAAAGGTGACCTGGCCAGCAAAGCTGGGCTAGAGGTGGGAGAAGCAGGGAGCCCCAGGGGTCCCCATGCAGGAAAAGCAACATGACCCAAGGGGCACACTGGAACATTTATCCAAGGCCGTGGAGGAGGCCCAAGTGCCCAAAAGAGACCAGAGGGGAAACTGGGGACAGGGACCCCGGCCAGGCTTCCCTGCCGTGGCACACACCTGCAGCCACCCCATCTCCTCACCTCTCAAGGCCCCGGGGCCATCCCACAGGACCACCCTCAGGGATCCTAGGGGATGGGTGCCCACTCCCGGCCTGCCCTCCACAGCATCTTCCATCAAGGCCTCCCTGTCTCCAGGCCCCCAAGGCCACTGCCCTCATTTCCCTATACCACCCTCTTGCCAAAACACAGGCACAGATGGCCCAGTAAAGTTCCAGGGACAGGGCAGGGGCTTCAGAAGCAGCCACCCAAGTTCAAATCCCACTCTGCCACTTCCCAAATCTGAGACCTGGGTAAGGACCCCAACTGACATGTGGGGAAACTGGGGCTCAAGGAGGCTAAGTCCTTGTCCCATGCCATACCGCTGACGGGGGAGCTAGCCGTATTTGAGCCCAGGCAGCCTGATACCCCCAAGCTTTGGCTCTAATGGTGCCTTTATAAGGCTTCTGTGACCTTCTAAATGGTCCCACCCTCCAAGAGTAGCATCTGGGACAGGATGGCAAGCCCAGGAGGTACACAAAGGTGCAGAAGCAACAATAAACCCAAGGCCAGGCTGGCTGGGATGCACAGGTGCTATTCCCGCTCAGGCCACAGGATGTCGCTGCAGCTGCCATGGACTGCTGCAACGACCTAGCCTCCTGGAGATTTGGGAACAGCTCACAGAAGGAAGTAGAAGCCTGGGATATTTCTGTGGGCTTCCCCAGGGACACTCCTGCTTCTGGCCTCATCAGCCTCCCAAGTTCCCGGATGCCTCAGCAGCAGGAGGGGCTGCTGTCAGGAGACAGCTCAGCTCAGACACCTAGACAGAAGCCCAACTCTACCCCAGTGACAAGCCTGTCAAGCTCTGCCCTCCAGCTGCCCTGTTAAACGGGAAAGCCGGCTCCTGCTGCCCAGGGCCGCCCTGAGGCTGAAACAAGGGAAGCCACGTGGAAGACCACGGCTGGGCCACAGGAAGTGGTCAGAAACTCTGGTTCCCAGCCCTGGGCCTGAAACAGCTCTGTGGTCTTGCTCTTGGCAGCTGCGGCTCCCAGGTGTCCCAGCAGAAGCGCGTAAGACCCTGGCACTGCTGCAGGAGAACCACCAGCCCCTCAGCAGACACAGAGTCTTTGCACATCTATCACTGCCTTGGTCTCCCAGCAAGTTGGTGGCCGAACCCAGGACTGATGGACTCCATGTCCAATCCACGTCCAATTCTCCCCACTGTGCCCTCTTTCCTGAACCTGGCTGCCCTGCCCATCCCTCACCGGTAAAGTCCCATTATGCTCTGACCTGCTGACCATGAGCCCACTCATCTAGACCACCCTGGGAGCCCCCTCACCAGCCTCTTCACCCGGGGACCTACCAACACACATTCCAGGAGTCAGGAGCAGTCTCCTCCCAGCCCAGTGCCCTTCGCTGCCCATCAGCCCTCACCATGGATGTTCAGACCCCAATGCCCATGCTGCTCCCTCGCCTGCCACCTCCATCAGCCAGTTTATCACCTGGTACAATCCCTCCCCAGCCACATTCCCACGTGCGTTCCCTGGGACGGCTCCGTCCTCTCCCCAGACTCCCTCCTGCACGTCACTGGGGCCTGGCCCGGGGCAGGGCCAGCACGCGCGGTGGACGGACTCACCCGGCTTGTTGAGGAGGCACCGGAGCTCATACTCCACGTCGGCCTGCCGCTGCTCCAGGTTCTGCTGCTTGAAGCTGGGGGGTGGGAACAAGCCGACCATGAACAGCTCTGCCTCGACCTGGGGCCCGGCCAGGCCTGCCTTGCCCTGCCCTGGCAGCGTTGAGGAAGGTCGGGAAGGTTCTCAGTTCTAGGCTCCACGGATTGTGCGAAGGGAACCCAGGGCCCAGGGAGGAGAGCACACTCACACATAGATCAGCTCTGACTCCCGCCGCACCAACAAGTGTTTCTCGTGGATAAGCTTGAACCAGTCCACCAGCATGTCGTCCTCACGGCCCTCTGCAAGCCAGACGCCCGATGAGGCCCGGGGCTGACCTGCCCTTCCCACCCTTCTCCAGGACAGAGGGCCCGCCCCCCCCAGGCCCTCAAGGTAGGTCCTCGCACCATTCACTCCCCCACGCAGCTTCTCCTCCAGCAGGACGCCACGGTGCTCCAGGGCGTCCAGCTGGCGCTCGATAGTGTCCATCTCCCCGTGGATGTCTTCCTCGGGGATGTACTGGTCAGCCTGGACCTGCACAACAGCGCTGGGTCACCTGAAGGACAGGCCACCCCTGACCCTGCCAGCCCTCCTACAGCACAGGTCGCTGCCGGGAGCTTTGCCCTTTGTCCAGCCACTCCTGGCCCCCACGGGTACAGCCAGCATGGTGAGATGTGCGGAAGGGGCCAATGTGGGGATGGTCATAACCCTTCCAGGCCCCTGGTCCCAGCACTGGGAGGCACAGCCAGAGAGATACAACTTCCTGTCTCCCCCTGGGAACTCCTCCCCCTTCTCCATCACTCCAGAAAGGTTATCGCTGTGTGACTGAGAGTCCCTGTTACAGAGATAAGCTGGAGAACAAACACTCTTCCATCCTGAAGGAGAAGTAGGTCACATGAACCCTATGGCACTTGAATCATTTTTAGTAACCATGCCCTCCACAGCCCTTGGCCGGGATGCTAGTCTGCTCTAGATCCCTCTGACTGTAAATTAAACCCTCCAGCTGGCCACCCAAGACCCTCCTTGGGACACTGGAGGGACACTGTCTCTGGCCAGACAGCCCATCCCCACACAGAGCCCCACAGGAAACCTGAGAGTGCCAGGCCGGGCGGCCGGGTCCCTGGGGGCTCCCAGCTGGTACCTTTCGCTTGATGAGTGGGAAACCGTGTCCTGGGGCAGGCGGCCTCGCTGGCTTGGGTCCTTTGGTGGCCTTCCTTGTGGTCGGGGAGGCCGTGGGGGATGCCTTCCGGTTAAAAGGATTCTCCTTGCAGGAAGACTGAAGGCAGGGAGACATGACAGGATAAGCCGGGGAAGGGGTGGTGAAGGCCTCGGCAGCCCCATCCCGGCCTGGGGAATGAGGGAAGCAGGCCTGCGTCCACGTGCAGGAGGGCTCGCCTCCAGGAAGGGTGTCCAGGCCGAGAGGATCTGCCAGCGTGCAGTCTCAACGCCCTCGGTCATTCAGCGGACATTTCTGGAACAGTCCACGTGCCAGGTCCACAGTGGGTGATTCCTATACATCCTGGTTTAATTCTCACAACCCCCCTGCAAAGTGGGCGTTGTAATGACTGTACAGCTGAGTAAACTCAAGTTCAGAGCCGTGCGTGGTATATTCGAGGTCCCACGCATCCCAGCGCCCGGGCTGAGGGGAAAGGCTGTTTCAGACCGGGGCACCACGTGGCCCTGGGGGACAGTGGTTAGGATGTGCTCCAGCCAGAAGTGTGAAAGCACAGCTCCACCTCCGTGGGGCCGGCAGCTGGAGGAGGGGAGCTCCCTCCTGCCTGGGGAAGACGCTCCCTCCGTGGGCTTAGGGCCAGTCTCACCCCACCACACAGCCCCTCGCAGCCAGCCAGCATCTTCCTGTCCCTCTGGGTGGACTCTGGCCCTCCCTGCAGCCGGCCCTACCACTGGGCGTGGCAGGCCATTGCTTGCCACGTGGGCAACATGTTTCCAAACAACGACTTCCCTCAGGTCAAATGAAACGGGCGTCTCACGGGCCCCTTGGAGAGCCCTCACTTGAGCTGTGGAGCGTTGTGAGTGGTTACCCAGCCTCCTCCGGAGATGGGGGGGAGCCCTGCCCATCCCATCCACCAGCGCAGAGGAGTGCCAGAGGCTCGTCCGGCCATAGCAGAGGGCAGGGTTCTGTCCCCACAGGGCCACGGCCGCCCAATGAACCCCTCTCTGTCTCATACGCCCACTGCCTCTGCGGCTCCCTCTTCATGTTGAGGTTAGGGTGAGGAAGGGGAGCCCCCAGGAGGAAGCCCCCGTGGGCTCTGCCTCTTCCCCCCGACACACACCCAGAGGGGCCCGGCACAGCCAAAGTGCCAAAGCCCCTGGGCTGGTCTGACCAGCAGGGCCATCAACTGAAAACCAGGGTTTCCAGCCTGTGCTTGGCTTCAAGCTTCAAACAGAATTGCTCACAGACCCACAGGAAACAGGTGCTTCCCAGGGAGCTGCCTGAGGTGGGGTGGGCTGACCCCAGCTCCCACCACCAAGGAGCCCTGAGCTCCTCAGAGCAGTCCGGAACCGGGGTGCTGCTCAGCCCCTCCTCACTCTGCCCGGGAGCCCGAGGCCACAGCTGGGAGCGGCAGAGGCAGCATGAGTGCACCAGTGGCCGTGGCCACGGCCAGAGAAAGGGAAATGAAATGACATTGGGGAAACACACCTTCGGTGCCTAGGGCTCATGCAGGGACTGTACCAACAGTATTAGGCCCCAAGAATGCTGCCAGCCACCTGTCACACCCAACCCTCTGGAAGCTCTCCTGCCACCTCTGCCTAGAGGTGGGCGAGCCTTGGGGCACACCCAGGGTGACTGAGTCGGGGCAAAAACGGCCAGTCAGAACCAGGTGGCACGGAGAGAGGCGAAAGAGAGGCCCCTCTACAAACTCTGTCCCCATCCTGGCGAGCCCCAAGCGAGCCAACAGCCCTAACGGGAAAACAGCTCCTCTGGAAAAGAGCCCCCCGGGATGGGGCCCAGTCAGGCCATTCTCTCCCCAGCTCCGCAGCAGAGAGAAGACAGGTCAGCAAGGGTCTGGGACAGGCCTGGGGCGGGAGCCCCATACGACAAGGGCTGTGACCTTTCTCCTCTGTAAACACCCCCTAACCCCAGCGTAGCACACAGCAGGAGCTCAATTAAGGTGTGTTTCTTTGGTCCTTTTGCCTGTCGGGGGCTCACTCTCCCACGACACACGCAGCACGTGGTGGAGACCTGGCCGTGAGCACCTCAAAGGCAGGGACCACATCCATGTCACCCTGGAGCCCAGGGCCAGCCTATGCACACAGCAGCTGCCCGATGAATGCCCTATGCCCCACTTCACAAGAGGGGCAACTGAGGTCTCAGGAGAAGGAAAATGGCACCAAGAAGGGAGTCAGCATCTCCCCCGGACCTAAGACTCCACTTCTGCCTCAGAGGGCCTTGTGGGACACTCATTAATGGCCTAGCAGGTGGAGCCCTTCAAGGGCGAGGATGTGGTCTGACTGCAGCTCTGCTGAGGGTCCGCATGATGGAATGGAGGTGCACAGGGTGGGTGGACAGTGGCTGGGACTGGCTCCCAGTAGGTGAGTACGGTGGAGAGGCAGGTAAGCAGGTGTCAGGACATGTGAGTACGTGCAGCCGTGGAACAGAAGAGGCCAGGTGGGTGGAGAGGTACATACACGGATGGGTGGAGGGACAGGTATGTCCCATGTCGGGGTGGAAGGGGCACTCACCTTTACCTGGAGCTGGGGGGACGAGGTTCCAGGGGAAGGTGCAGGGCTCCTGTCTCCAACCAGCACAAGAGGGGTGGGGGCAGCACCACTGCAGGGCTTAGCCGCCTGGGGACCCGGGCTGCCCCTAGTACTGGTGGTGGGGCCAAGACTGGCTTGAGGGGTCTGGTCTGCGCTGCGCTGCACCAGCTCCCCCGAGGATGACAGGGAAGAGTCGGCCGAGAGGCTGGCAGAGGTGCCAGGTGTGCCAGGGGCGTGGACCACAGGCTCTGAGGAGCTCTTAGGCACAGGAGGTGGCTCCAGCAGCTCCCTGCCAGTGGTCTGGCTGGAACTCTCAGACGACAGGCTCTCCACACTGAGGGCGGGCGACGGGGTGGACGAGGGGGGCTCCGAGTGTGAGAGGCGAGAGGTGTGGTGCACTGTATGAGAAAGTGGGCACCACACGAGGGGCTGGGTCAGGGCTTCCAGCCCCATGTGACATGCTTCACCCTCAATAGAGCTGCATATGGCCCTGGAAACCCAACCCCTTCCACGTCCAGGTGGGGAACTGGGACCAAGAGAGCAGCAAACACATGATGTGACCAAGGTTATCATATGGATCACAGTATCCTAGTTTTTCCAACACCCTTGGTGCTCCGCCTGCCACTGACAGGCACTTTTATAATCCTGAGTTTCCTTACCAGCATGTCTGCTGCCTCCTTTCCCCACAAGCCCACAGCCCTACCCCCTCCAAGCCTGACCCAAAGCAAAGCCGAATTCAAAAGGCGAAGTGAGGAAGGCCACGTGAGGGAGGCGTGACCATGGTACCCTGGCAGCCAGAGAAGTGAGGCCAGCCTCCCTCTGCTGCCAACCCCGTGTGGAGCAGGACGTAGCCCTTGCAGTGACCACTCCAGGCCAGGCACCGCGCGTACCACTTCAACCCTCACAACATACTTCAAGGCACTGTCACTGGCATTTCCCAGATGAAGCAGCTGACTGAGAGAGGAGGAATGACCCAGCAAGGGCCATGTCTGACTCCAGAGCTCATGCCTGTCGGCTGTGCCTTGCACCTGCCCACCCCCTCCAAACACAGCTAATGGGTCCCAGGGCTCTGGGTAGGGGCCAGTGCGGGGCCCCCTACCACCTCTGGTCATTGCTAACATGCTAACGTGCTCTTGGCCCCACTGTCTGAGGAGGTCCCACTGAGGTCACCAGACCCAGGCCGTGGTGACAGGAGATGAGCCCAGGGCCCAGCACCTGGAACCAGCCCACCACAGCACTGTACAGATGGAGAGACTGAGGGCAGGACCAGCTCAAAATCACCGCTCACATCACACACAGCCAGGTGAGAGCCGAGACCAGCTGGCACCTGCAGTGCGAGTGACCAAGGTAGACAGGGTTAGCGGGAGCTTTCCACTAGCCCGACATTGCAAGATGGGGCTGACGCTACCTGCCTCACAGGTGTGTTCCAGGATTAAGTGGGAGAACACGTATACATAGAACAAGTAGCACATGGCCTGGGAGCCCTGTGGTTCCACACCCCCTTCCCTGCCCCTGTGTTGACCCCACCTACACCCCCGGTTCCAATGGCCACGCCCAGGGATGGCACTCACCGAGCGGGGATGCGGTGGGTGCGCGGGGGGCGGGGCGCTTCTTGGTCTTGGGGCTGCTGGTGGGGGTGATGCCATACCAGGGGTGCAGGGACTTGGGCGTGGACTCCTGGGGGGCTGGGGCAGGGCCAGCGGCCAGGCTGGGTGCAGCCAGGGACTCCTCCTCCTCTCCCTCCTCCTCAAAGGGGTTGTAGGGCTTGGGCTCCAGGACGGCGGCCAGGCTCTTCGGGGCCACCTCCTCCACGCCGCCGTTCTCCACCCGCCTGTGGCTCGGCGGCCCGGGGCTGCTGTTCGGCGGGAGAGGGGCTGGCTTCTTCTTTGGTTCTGCTTGCACCAGTGTGATCCATGGCGGGTCCTTCCTGGGGGCCGGCGTCCTGATAGGAGGCAGGAAGAAACAAAACCGGTGCAGCTGGTCTGGGCTCAGCTTCCCTGTCTCTCCGGACACTTCCAAGTCTATTTCAGAGGGTACCCCCTTTGGAAACTGCCTCCCTTTTCTCTGCCCCAGCCCAGCAGGGCCAGTCTGGGCCATTCATATCCCCACTGGGCCCCTTGGAGGTGAACCTTCACGTCACAGAGCCATCACCATACCAGCCCAGGAAAGGACCGGCAAGGAGCTGAACCATGTACCACCTGTATGACCAGGAAAGTTACCTGGCCTCACAGCCATCAGTTTCCCCATCGGTGAAATGGGGGCAGTAACAGTACCCACCCCTCACGTCAAGGAGAACATGGAAAGCCCTGGGCACAGTGCCTGGCATGCAGTGATGCTCAACGAACGTCACCTACTGCAACAGCTGTGGCCACTTCTCTCCCTCGGGGACCATGGGAAACACAGATCCCAAAGGACAAGTATAAACGGCTGTCCTTCCTCGCAGCAGGGTCCCAGGGGTCGGGGGCTAAGAGCCAGCACAGCAGCTGAGCCTTCCTGGGCCTGTCCGTCCTCCACTGCTCACCCTCACAGTAACAGGAGGGAGGCCCGGGTTTCCCATGGACAGCAGTGGTTCTCCACCAGGCTCTGCTGCCCACAGGTGCAGGCCCCTGGGGAGAGGGAGAGTGAGCCCCAGGGCCGGGGGTGGCACTTCCCACCGGGCCCGGCCTACCCTGCGCCTCAGGAGGGTGTGTTGGTGGGAGACTGCCCACAAGAAGCCTTATCCCTAGGCCCAGGGCTTCATTGGTTCCCACCCTCCGAGTCTGCCAAGCAGGAGAGCTTCTCAGGGACCAACGTACCTCTCTGACAACTTGGGCGTCCCTCTCGGCTTGGGGACAGGCGGCTCGTGCAGCCTTCCTAGATGGGAAAGGAGCGTGAGAGAGGCCTTCATGGGCAGCTGGGCGCTAGCGAGCAGAGTAGGGCAGCCAGGCAGTCAGTCTCACCGAAGAGTGAGTGAGCGAGTGCCCTTCGTTCAGTCACGGCACCCTCCTGTGCACTCGTGCTCCTGGGCACCCGCCCCCAGCACTGAGGGAGATTAGATAAGCACAAGGGTGACCAGGTCGGAGCACAGTCAAGGTCAAAGACAGGCCACTGGAGAGCCCACGTGTACTTCAGTTGGCAAGTGGGAACCCAAGTCCCCCCAGACACTTCCCCACCGAGGAGAGGACACATTGTCTCAATTCAGCTCAGGTGTCACATCCTCCTGGAAGCCCCCCCTCCCGACTCCTAAGTGTCCCTTCCAACCCCAAAACAGCCTCTGCTCCCCTCCATTTGGACAGAGTCCACATTCGGCTGCAGTCCTCATGTCCACCTGCCACCCACCACAAGACTGGCAGCCCCTTGAGGTCACACCAGGATTGGATGGAATTTGAGTCCCTGGCCTCCATGAGTGCTGAGACTGAGCAAGGACAATGTTCCCGTGCAGGTCTCAGGGGCAGACCCTGGGGGCCTCTCTCCCTTGAGCCTCTAGAAGAAACAATAAGGTCCCAGGCCATCTCAGGTTACAAGGAACCTGTGTTTCCATGAGGTCACGGAAGCCCAGGGAGGTCGTCTGGGAAGGATTTGAGATAAGGGGTCAGGGAGAGGGGCCCACAGACTAGGGCAGGGGTCTCCACTGCACAGGTCCCCCTGTTGAGGGTCATATCCTCCCCTCCCCGAGCCCAAGCTCAGGTGAGACAAGGACAAGCACACGGGCTGGGGTGTGGGAGGTCACCTGGACTGTGCACACGGATTGTCTGGGACACAAGGGAACACCAATATGCAGAGACACAAGGCAACAGACAGGCACACACAGTGTGCACTCATTACACTCCCTGAACTGAAGCACAAGACACAGGAGAACCTCAACACCCCCCCCCACACAGAACAGTGCAGCCTGGGCTGGGGGTTTCCACTGTTTAGTTCGAGGTGTACCCCCACATCTAGAAGAGGCACACAGGGCCGTGGGGCTCAGTGGCAGAGTCTTGCCTTCCATGAGGGAGACCTGAGTTTGATTGCCGGCCAGGGCACCAATGCACAGCCCCCACCCGTCCGTCTGTGGAGGCTGTGTGTTGGTGTGATGGGTGAACAGGTGTCAGCGAGCCTTCCAGACTAAGACCAGGGAGAAAGGCCTGGCAATCCACTTTGAAAAATCAGCCAACAAAAGCCCCATGGGGCCCAACAGTCTCATTTGCGGTCAATCGTGGAGCTGGTTCAGGAGTGGGCAACACTGCACTCCACCATGCACAGAGTCACCATGAGTCAAAGGCCAACTTAATGGCCGCTGACAACAGAACAGGCACGGCCCTTAAGGCACGAGGTGAGTACATGTTGTGTGAATGAGTGACGGCAGACAGGAAATGCCCGGCACAGTTATAGGGCGCACAGGTCCAGAGAGCATCAGCCAGCTGCCACGGAGTCAACTTGGACTCACGAGAATCTGTGTGCATCAGAACACAACTGTATTCTGTAGGATCCTTCAGAAACAATTGCCAGGCCTTTCTGCCAAAGCCCTGCTGGGCAGACTGGAACCTCCAACCTTTGCACTAGCAGCCAAGCACGTTAACCATGTGCACTGTCCAGGGAACAGAGGATGGCCTCACCGAAATGCTTAGACACACACAGACATGTGAACGAACATGCAGACTCACTCACACACCACACCCACCCAGCGCTGCCCCACTGGACCCTGGCTCACCGTTCATGAGGCCACCGCTGCCACCCTGCTCCACCGGGTTCTCGTGCTGCAGACTGGGCCGTGGCCGGGGCGTGGGGGGTGTCATAACCACGCTCTCAGATGTCTTCCTGGGGGCAGGTGTGGGGCGGCCGGCTGGGGGGCTGGCCAGCTCCTGGGGCTTGCTGGGAAGGCGGGGCTTGGTGGGTATCTGGGGCCGGGCCTCAGGGCCGTCCTTGGGCCCACTGGCCTCAGCTGTGGCTGCCACACCAGGGCCTCCATCAACATCCTTGGC